GTAGACCAGAGTGGCTTCGAATTCACAGAGATCCACCTGTCTCTACTTCCAGAATGCTAGGATTAAAGGCGCGTACCACCACAGCCTGGCTTCATAAATTATCTTAAGGAAAACTATGTATTTTAGAGAACAAACATTTTAAGATCACTGTTGACTAAAAATGCTATAATTTCCTATTCTTCTATTACAATTAGTTCTATGGTTTGAATGTTTGTCCCCTCCAAAAGTCATGTTCAAATTGAATTAGTGCTGACCAGTAATAAGAAGAGAGACTTAGAGATGAGCAGGCTCTAAGGGGAAGCCTTTCTGAGTGGAACTGATGCCGTTAAGACAGGTAAGTCTGCCTGTCTCTTGCTCTCTTACGTGTGCTCTGGCCTTCTGCCATGTGAGGATGGAGGAAATAGGCCCTTGCCAAATACTAGCACCTTGATACTGAACTTCCCAGCTTGCAGAGCAATAAGATAATAAATTCCTGTTCATTACAAATTATCTAGTCTCCAGTATTCTGTTATAGTAGGAAAAATAGGCTAAGTCAGCCAGTGTTCACATGGACTTTTTTCATTTCCGGCCGTTTATATGAACTCAAAAGTAGGTAACTATCCAATCCACATCAAATTGAACACAGACAAGGGAAGTCCATATGCATGAGAAATTTACAAAACAAAACTCTCAGTTAAGCTCCATCAAGATGCTGAGGTTTAAAAAGTGGCAGCAGTTACTATAAAAATGACACTGAATAAATAGGGTGGGTGATCAGCTAAGAAACTTCTGTGGCATCCTCTAGACTCAGCCTGATCAGTTAGAAAGGTCTGTGCAGGCTTTACTATAACAACCTAGTCCTATCCTACTTCCTCAGCACCACAGCCCCTAGAACCATGTACAAAGCATGGACATGTAAACTCCTGTGCAACCGGAACTGACAGTCTTATGTGGGACAGCCTACACACCCAAAGTACTTAAGTATTAATGATGCCAAGAAGCACCCAGAGGAACTACTCCGAGGAGTACGGGGTAATAACAAAAGAGAGCTTTGACAAAACCCATCTACAGCTACTTCACAAGATACCAAGTTACCTGCAAACCACCTACTTTCACAAAAATCTAGTTGAAAAGACCAAAAAAGAAGAAGAAAAAGTCAAATCTTTCCATAAGGAGATTATCTGCTAAGATAGGAATGAGAGGTTTATTAGCTGGAGCACTAATGAGGACACTCACTTTTAAAATGTGGAATGGCACCTCTGTAATCTAGCTCCAAGTTCATCTGCTGGGATGGATTCAATAGATTCACCTGACCCCCATAAGCAAATCCAAATTCAAGATTTAAAGCTGTTTAGTATCACTAACATTCTATGGAAATTTCATGTTTGTCACTGGGCTTCTCAAGTACTTCTGGGAGACAGTACATTGTGATCTCGATAGCACTGACAGGGAAGGAAATAAAATTACCAAAGCGATCCCACACTAATGACTACACTTAAAAGCATTTTTCCATCTCCTTTGTGCTCCTCTGCACTTCCTTTCAAACAACTGTGAAGCTGTTGACTTTCCAGATTCTGTGCTGCAGCAGGAAGAGCCTAATGAATGCTTCGAACAAATTCATACCCCGTATCACCACAGTGCTGTGTTTGGGAGAGCATTTCACATTAAAGGTAGCTTTGTGTTCTGGAGAAATTCAACCACCTGAGTTTATCTCCCCTTTACTACCTCTCAGAACTGCTTAGGGAACAAATAAATAGCCACGTGTAGACCCTCTACATTTTATAATAGTGGACTTTAAGGTAATAATTTCATGCTATCAGCTAGCCTTTTTAATAATAATAATTTTATTCAAATTGCCATATAAATAAAATGATTTTTATTACAATAGAAAAATGGTATAAAAATAACTATTTACATACATATCATATATTTTATAACTTATAATGCACTTTTCACATGTACTATCTAATTTAGACCTCATGGGTCACTCTCTGAAGCATTACTATTAGCTCATTTTTATAAAAGAGGAAACTAAACTCAGGGATATGAAGTGGCTCCTTCACCCCACTAGCAAGTGCTGTAAGTGGTAGAGACAAGATTTTAGACGTTTTGCTCAAAATCTCTTACAATATGGAATATTCTTTTTTTTTTTTTTTTTCAAGAAAGGGCTTGGGTATAGATGCTCTGGCTAGCTGGGAACCTGTGATGCTCCTATCTCTGCCTCTTGAGTATTGGTATTGCAGTGTGCACCTTGCTTTAGAAAAATGTCATTTCTAAACTCTCAAGAGGGACCATAGCTTTCACATAGACCTACTAAGGAAGTTATTTACATAAGAATTCTTGACACTGACCTGAGTTTCCCTTATTCTGTCTCCCAACTTGCAAGGTATTTCTCTACTCTTAGCCTCTTAACTCTCTTCTAAAAGTGCTTATTAGGGAAAGGTAAGGTAACTATAAACATGCAAGTGTAGTTGCTACATTTTAGCTCATAATGTTAACAGCATACTGATAAAACATACAGGACAACATTATGTACCTAACTTCAAAGCAAAGTTAACTCACAGATTCAAAACAAAAGGAAGTATGTAAATATTTTCCAAATTTTGTTTTTTATACCTTTCTTTTACCCATCTATTTATAAGATTTCCACAGCACTCTCTATTTATTTTATCTTGTGAAGAACTGACAGGGACAGCAGTTATAATTACATTTCAGTTTTGCCATAATGAAGATCCAGTCACATAAATACAGGGCCGATTACTGGGAAGTAAACACAAAAGCAAGCTTGTACAACTGGCTACTGAAGTGTCCCTGTGCGGCAACGGGACTGGGCTGCAGTTTGGCGCCATCTGGTGGCAACTATCACAGGGTTAATATCTATGGATCAATCTAAAACCCTCTGGTTGAATGGAGCACCTAGGTCCAGTCCCATCAACTTTCTGGTTAGGTGGTATGATGGTTAGTTTTAATTGTCGACTTGACAATGCCTAGAACCACTTGGGAAGAGTCTCTAGGAGCCGCTGTCTAGATCAGGTTGGCCAGTGTGGCAGATTGTCCTGACTGCCTTCATTGATGTGGTAACCTTGTCAGAAAGGGAGGCACCACTCTTAGTTTAGGGTGCTGAACTATTTAAGGGTGGAGAAAGAAGGCTGAGCACTAAAAGTGCATATCTTTATTCTCTTTGTGCTCTTAACTCTGGATGTGAGTAGTTGCTTATGGTGCTTGCTTTGACTTCCCAACATGATGGACTTGTGAGCAGAAATGAAGCTTGAATGGATGGCATCCACTTTATTGTGAACGTGGGTCCAGAATAGCCCTGGGGATAAGCAAAGTTGCCTCCATCTTTCCTTCTTCGAGAAATGACCATTGCCTATTTTCCTACACAACTTTGCCATCCTACTTTTACTATTTTAGAGAGGTGATGTTGTTTGTTCTTATTTTGTTTTTAGATGAAAAATCAGGAAACAGTCACAATGATTACATAGCAAAGTATCTGTAGTAATGTGGATTGTTTAGGCATAATCATGTACTGCTATGGGATGTTCTGTATGTTAAATGTGTTGCTCTGATTGGTTAATAAATAAAACACTGTTGACCAGTAGCTAGGCAGGAAGTATAGGTGGGACAAGCAGAGAAGAGAATTCTGGGAACAGGAAGGCTGAGTCAGAGAGACACTGCCAGGCGCTGCCATGAAAAGCGAGATGTAAGGTACCAGTAAGCCACAAGCCACGTGACAACTTATAGACTAGTAGATATGGGTTAATTTAAGATATAAGAACAGCTAGCTAGAAGCCTGCCATGGCCATACAGTTTATAAGTAACATAAGCATCTGTATGTTTATTTTATAAGTGGGCTATGGGACTGCCGGGGCTTGGCGGGACCTGAAGATAAAAACTCAAGCTACAATGTACTGTATTGTAAAATGATAACATCATTTTTAAGATTAGATGAACAAAAACCTACAAAATGTGTAACAGAAATGAAGTGAGCCAGAAAATGAAATAGGACTTATTTATAAAAAGAAATATTATCTATGCCACAGTTCTCATGTACAGACTGTTCTCTTGATGAGGTGGGACACTTGAATTCACTACTCTGTTTGTATGTCCCACAGATACTTCCAATGGAACTAAATTTATCATGTGTTTCTATTAAAGCCTTATGTGTTTCTAATGCTTTCACAACTCTAATTTGCATTCTCAGTTTCTTCTTACCCCTTAACCCACCAGGTCTTGCTGAGTCCATCCTAAACACTGTGCCAATCTGGGCTGGGGGATACTTTGGTTGGTAGTGTTTGTCTTGGAAGCAGGAGCACATCAGCAAAAGGAGGGAGGGAGGAAGTGAAGGAGGGAGGAGGGGGCAGGGTAGAAGGCAGGAAGTCTTTCAAGAGTCACAGTAACTGCAAAATTAATATATGACAACAATTGCCACTGAAATAAGTAGATTTACTCTTCTTTTTAATTATTAATTAATTAATTTTACATCCTGACCACAACCTACCCCCCCCCATCACTCTTCTAATGCCACCAATTACTAGAGGAACCTAGCACACAACCATTCAAAAGTAACTGCATGAATAAAACTATTCTTCAATGTTATCTAATAGAACATCTTTCAGGACCAGTGATTAAATGTATATTACTATTCCAGTTTTTACAAAGATCCATGAGAAATGCTTGGTAGAACTACTGCTGTCTTAGTACCTTCTAAATGTTCTCTTACTCTTGTCTTTGGTCTGAACTAAGGTAACAGGAAACAGACACATTATCCAGTAAAAAGACCTACAGTAGAATAAGCTCTACTGTAATTAGTTATCAAAGATTACAGAACTTAACATTCTCATTTGTATTTACAACTATTAAAAAAGACATCTCAGATTTTCATTTTCATGCCAATGAATTGGCATTTCATTTCAGTAAAATTCTTACAATCTCCAAACAAAGAAAAATATAACTTGCTCAGTCACGTTCTCTCTCTCTCTCTCTCTCTCTCTCTCTCTCTCTCTCTCTCTCTCTCTCACCTGTTTTCTCGTTCATACATTTCCCTAGAGGCATTTCGAAGCTGATCGATTTCCAGATTAGTTTTCAGTTTGATTTGTTCCAGTTCATCATGTAGTTTATTCTCATATTCCGTTTTATAATGGTCTCTGCGAAGACAAAAAGAATAGTCATGAAAAAGTAGACCATTGTTCTCCAGGAAAGAGTTCATTATTTTATATGGAGCATGCATTTAGAGTATGCTTAGAAAACCCAGGCTCTGGACACATCACTGCTGCTCCATAGGCGTCATTAATTACTAAGATAGATATCAGTAATCCTGCTGGGTGCGCATCTTCAATGTCATTTCAATGCACAGGGCCGAGGCCTGAAGACTGATGCACATAGATGTTGCATGTTGAGACAAAGAATAAAAATGTAATACCCAGATCATTCTGACTTTAGAAAACATTTCCTTTTCTACACAGCAAACAGAGCCACACATGAATTTTCTTTTTTTGAAAGGTAAAGTCCAAGTGTTACATGGGGCACTAGTAGCAAGCACAGCACAAACCCATCAAAATAAACAGGCTGGGGAAAGTCAGAAATGCTGAACTGTGAAAGGCAAAATTTTAACTTGAAAAGTTTTTACTTTCTTCTTATGTGATGGATGTTCTGCCTGCATATATGTGCACCATGTGCATGCAGTACTCACAAAGGCCAGAAAATGGTGTCAGATCCCTGGAGACTGGCCTTACAGACATAATGTGGTGCTGGAAACTGAACCCAGCTTCTCTGGAAGAGCAGCCAGCGCTCGCTCTGTAGCAGGCTTTTTCTTTCTGGCCACCAACCATCTCCCAAATCAGGACACAGAGATTTCTTTTTAGTTATGAATGCTCAGCCTTATCTTAGCTCATTTCTGGCTGGCTCTTTTAACTTAAATTAACCCGTTTCCCTTCATCTACCTTTCTCCTTCAGGCTTTTTACCTCCTTTCTTTCTGCATATCTTACTTTCACTGCTTCTTGTGTCTGGCTTCTGACCCTGGGCCTCTCCCTCTTTTTCTCCCTCATTCTCTTCTTCTTTTCTCCATCTTTTTGAGCCTAAATTTCTCCTATTTATTCCCTCTGCCCGCCAGCCCCGCCTATCCTTTCTCTGCCGAGCTATTGACCATTCAGCTCTTTATTAGAGCAATCAGTGCCTTAGGCAGGCAAGGTGAAACAAATGGAACACATCTTTACATCATTAAACAAATGCAGCATAAACAAATGTAACACATCTTTACCTAGTTAAAATAATATTCCACAACAGTGCCCTTAACTGCTGAGCCATCGCTCCCTCACCAAATTTTAACTTTTTTAGTTTTTGGCATGCTGATGAATATAAAAAGCCCAAGGATTTTGAAGGCTATTAGTATAAAAAAAACTCTACAGTATATACATATTTAGTAGAAGAGAGAAGGTAGACTTGAGATGCAGGGAGCCTGAACCTAAGACCCGTGATTTGAAAACATATGATAAGTACCTTCTCATTCTTCTTTCATATTTCATCAGGAAAATCCCAAGTATGCTTAGACTTTCTTCAAAACGGTATTTCTATAGATGCTTTCAGACTTTCCAAAACTACTAATAAGAAATCTTAGCCACAGGGTCACAGAACATTTTTCTTTGAAGTTCTTAGAACTAAACCCAGGGCTTTGTGTTTGTTAAGAAGTACTCAACCACTGAATTATTCTTTCCACCCAGCAATAGGACATTAAAAATATTGTTGAACAAATAAGTTATGGGCTGTCAGTGGGACTCAGCAGGTAAAGGTACTTACTATACAAGGCACACGACCTGAGTTCTGTCCCTAGAACTCACAATAGAAGGACAGACGGACTCCTGAAAGTTGTCCTCTAACTGCCACAAGGCCAACAGCGTCTGCACACACACACTAATAAGTTTAAAAAACTGAAAGAAAAGAAATTATACACACATATCCTCCCGAAAAGAAATGGGCTTATCTTTTTAACAAATGCTGGTGGGAAACTGGATTTTCACAGGTAGAGTGAAACCAGGCTCTTATCTAATGGCACAGAAAGCAACTGAAGATTGATAAAGATTTAATGTAAGGCACAGAACTTTGAAACTACTACAGGAAAATATGGTGAAAATGCTTCTAAATATAGACATAGGCCATGATTTCTGAAAAGAGCTCCAATAATCCAGAAAATAAAAAGAACTGACAAACAGGATCATATGCAATTAAAAAGCTCCTACACAGCAAAGGAAACAATTAACTGTAAAAAGAAAGCCCACCAAGTAGATGAATTTGTCATCTATACAATTGATGGGGAATTAATATCTAGAATCTGTAAAAAAAAAAAAAAAAAAAAAAAAAAAAAAACTATACAAATTAAAGAAAAAAATCCAAGCAATGATTCAACCTAGCAGTTTTCAAAAGAAGTACAAGTGGCCAATAAATATATGAAAGATACTCAACCACCCTGGCCATCAGGGAATTGTAAATTAAAACTGTATCAAGATTCTACCTCTTTCCAGTCATGAAAAACCAAGAGACAAAAATCCTAGCAAGAATTGTGGGTGGGAGTTGAGTAGACAAGGAACACTTACGTAGGTGTGGTAGTGTAAATTAATGCAGCCACTGTGGGAATCAGTCTAGAATTCCCTCAAGAAACTGAAAGGAACACCCCCATCTGATCCAGCTATACCACTCTGGATTCTAAGACAGCATACTACATACACAGCTGTACATCTGTAGTTATTCTGACACTATTCCCAGTGATCAAGATATGGACTCAGCCTATGCATCCATCAATAGGTGAATGGATAAAGAAAATGAGATGGGCCAATGAGATGACTCAGCGGGTAAAAGTGCTTGTTGTGCAAGCTTGATCTGCACCCTAGATCCCAGAGAAGAGAACTGACTCCTCAGAGTTGTCCTCAAACCCCCTCCACACATGCCCTGTGCTACAGGCATACCACCCACCCCACACCCCACACACACACACAATAATAAAATAAAGAAAGAGTGGTATATTTGTATATATATTTTGGTCATTGAAAATAAGAGAGAATGAAATTATAGCATTTGCAGTAAACTGTGTAAAACTGGAGATCACATTAAGTGAAAAAAGCCAGATTCAAAAAACAAACCCTTTCGTGTTTCCTCACATGTAGAATCTATGTTAAGGAACTATGTATAAGGGGTGAAGTAAAAGTGGGGATACTTGGAACGAGTGGGAGAAGAGACATGAGAGTGGTGAATGGGAAGTGGTGAATATGAACACAGTACAAAATGTACACATAGGAAATTATAAGCCCATGATTTTTATATTAATAAATATATGATAATTAATTTTTTTAACTAAAAGAAGGAAAATAGGCCTTTGTGGTGACTGGAAAATATCTATAAAAGGTCAACTAGAAAAGAAAACTTAGAAAGGAGACAAAATGAAAAGGACCTGTAGACCTCAAACCGCTCACGTTCCCACAAACGAACTCTCACTCACCCAGAGTGCTCATTTACATGTATTACAAGGAAAGTAACGAGTCTTGCCTGGATGACACGTATTTTTCATACATGTCTTCTCTAGCCTTTTTGGTCTCTTCCAGCTGCACTTGCAGCCTTTCCAGGCGGTCCTCTTCGTGGGCACAGCGGACACTGAGCTCCATGTTTTGGCGATTGAGGTACTCCTTATCCTTCTGCAGGAGGGTGACTGTCTGCTGCAAGGTGGTGACCTATGGAAATTCAGAGACACGCCCAGAGTGAGGTGTTACTTCCCAAGGTTGGCTTCCACTGTGTGGATCACAGAAACACTCTCCTTTAAAAAGTGAAAAACTTAGCCTTCTTTATGCAAAACTGCCTGCTAAGTTTTCCTCTCTTCCCGGTAACTACATAAAAAGGAGAAAAACGGTGATTTCTCCCATAATTTTACCCTGGGCTATTTGTCAGTTAATGTATAATAATCATGAGTGAGTCAACTTGGGAGCTTACCTCTTTTGATAATTCACTTCTTTCTTTAGCCTGAGCGATGTGAGAGGCTTCAAGTATTTCATGTTTTCTTCTAACCTCGAGTACTTCCTGTTCAAGAGCATCACGCTCACTATGAAAATAAAATCAAATACACATGTAAATACAGAAACCTCTTTCACAGTTGAAAGGGGCTGAGTGGCAAGAAGCTGACCAGAACAGTGGGGCTTTTGTGTGTCTACTTTTCAAATTCTGAAGGTTCAAGACCATGTTCAGGTCAGTAACAATGCACATTTAGAGTTAGTGTTACATACATGCGTAAACTACACTAAGCCGTAAAGGTCACAGTTCTTTCTAAGGTTCAATTTTATTCTTCCTCACTATCATTTAGGTTTTGGTTGGTGCTGTTGTCGTTTCAGACATGGTCTCACTCAGTTCACACTAGCCAACAACTCATAGCAATCCTCCTGTCTTAGTTTTCCCATGCTGTGACTACAAGCATGAGCCATCTCACAGGGCTCCACTCTTACCTTCAAGTTAAAGCTTTTAAACAGTTAAAAAAAAAAAAGAAAGAAATGAAATATAGCTTCAGGCTTTATTAGGGTCAAAAATCCATCATAATTTTTAACTGGTACTGCACAGCAACACACAGGCAGGCTTTCAGGGCACTGTTTCCTTCACACAGTGCTTACGATTAAGCCAGGTATTTTAAGTTTCTCCTTCGGACTAGCTCTCTCCCAGAACAGCAAAACTACGAACGGGCCAAACCCCTCAACGGGCATCTTTAAAACTGAGCAGAGCAATACTTTTGCTCCGAACTCCTCTTCCCTAGTCACAACAGCCTCGGGACTTTACTCCACGGACTCCTGGACTGCCACAGGAGAATTGTTTTCTTTTCCCTTGTTTTTCAATATGCCACGTAGATGAAAGATACATCCTATTCTCTGACAGATTTTACCCGAGGCTGCAGATTCCATTGATGATTCAGAATAAAATGATTAATGAGGCTATAAAGCAGCCATCCTGACATACTCATATGTTTATTAGTTGAAATGGTACTGTTCAGATCTTCTTTCCTCATTTAGTGTTAGCACGCCCTTGTAGGTTCGTATTCTATCAATGGCTTATAACTCATAATTGTCAGTATTTATTTTTATACCCAGGTATACTATATTGTATTTAGTTGCCTGGAGGTGCTTCAGTTTCTACTGTGGTGTTAACTGGAACTGCAAGTATCAATATAATTTCGTCCAGTGTGTCACGTTCTTCTGGCTTCCCTCTCTCCTGTCCTTGCCAAGGAATAATAGCTGATATAGCAATGATCACAGCCCAAATACTAATTTTGAAATACCACTTCCTGTTACTAGAAATCAGAGCTCTTTAGAGAAAGGGTCAAGGAAACATGATGTTATGCCAGAAGCTGTAGAACTGTTGAAACAAAAGTGACTCCAATGTAAGTTAATGGTTTTAACTGCCACATAGAATTTTACGTAGAAATAAATCTGTTATTCAGAAGCCCTTGAATTCTAGAGATAATGTAATATCTATATGTCTATATATTTGTGAGAACTTATCAAGGGGCATATCCCCCAGGCTACCTTATATTTTCATGGCTTGTCCTTCTCTTTTTATTCTGTGTAGTGCTGGTGGCCGAACCCGGGGTCACAGTGATCTCCCAGTGAGCTACATAGAGTACCAGGCTTGGTATTTGAACCAGGACTTTTGTGAGAGCCCACACTGCACTCAAGAACTCATCATCTCCCTACTTCAGCCTCTCAAAGGCCGGCTGGGATTACACGTCTGTTGCCACCATACATGGCTTGTCTACAATTTGTTTTTAACTTATTCACGAACCCAAGGTTTAGTTGAAACCCTCCCCCCACCCCCGTTTTTTTACTGTCCTATTTTTAACATACAGAAGTGATTATACTTTTTAATCAGGTTATATTTTTCTTTCTAGTTTTTTATTATAAAAAATAGAAACATTAAAAAATAGAGACACTATAATGAATATCCATGATTCTATTATGCAGCCTTGATAATTATCAACTACACTTGTTTCATTTACTGATGAATGAATCAGGGAGCTGTGGATTATTCTGATGATTATAATTTTTCTCATTTTATTTACCATTTCTGTAGATATAGAGAGGAAAATATGAAATCAAAATATCAATTGTAAGTATCATCTTACCATCTGAAATTACTTCATTTTAAAATGCTTCTTAGGGAATAAGTTGGAGGGAAAAGGAGGTTCAGTGGGAGTGGGAGGGAGACAACAAGGGTGGTAAGGGGTGAATATGATCAAAATATGTTTTTTATCTATATATATATATGTGTGTATATATGAAAATATCATAACAAAACCCATTATTATGTATTATTAATTATGCTAATAAAAAGTTAATAAAAATAAAATATTTCTTTCAAAATTCAGCTTTATTCAGGAGTTCACTGACTATAGCTCTCATAAATTTCAAGATCAGATAATTACCATATTAGAGAATAATGATAAATACTATTACATACCACACACCAGTCAAGGTGGGAATGGAAGCACTAATATATTGGCTAAATCTCTGTAAATTCACTTAAAACATTCTAATATTCATTGACTGACTGCTGAACTTCAAGAATTCTAGCTGAAGCAGATATACTAAATGAACAAGTAAGATAAATCCACTCTATCTGCAAAGATACAGTACTAACATACTCTAAACTGTTGACAATTGTCCTTTGGTTGATCTTTTCTTGTTGTTTTGTTTTTTGAGACACAGTGTCTCTGTGTAGTGCTGGCTATGCTTGACCTGGACCAGGCTGGCCTTGGACTCAGAGATCTGCCTGCTTTTGTCTTCTAAGTGATGGCTGTGTGCACCACAGCCACCTGATCTCCTTTGGTTAATCTTACACTTAAATTGACATTACATGAAATTCATCAAATAACACTTAGTGAGTATTCACACAAAGCATTTTACAGGGGTCCCATTTCTCTTACATCTGAAAGGGTGGTGGCAACTTCTCCACAAACTAAAAAGCACCAGTAGAAAACCACAGCTGATGCCCACCACGCTGCATATTTTCACACACTGAAGGAGGAAGTGGAGAAACGACTATGTGGGGGTACAAATTCGGGTGACTGCGGAGAACACTAACAGCGACAATCCCCATGGCCACCTTTACCTCTTGACTTTGTCGTAGTTCTCTTGACGGTAGTCACCTTGCTGAACTAACTGTTTGGTGTCTGCCAATTCCAAGGCTAAGCGCTGACATCGAATCTGAAGTTCAGAGTTACCTTTTCTATCCTCCTCATATGTCTAGAAGTCAAGGGAAGAATTACTCATTTCAAAATGAACATAGGAGACCAAATTTTGTATTGAATTCTTCTATATGCTATGAAATGACCTTATAATTAAACTAAAACATATTCACATTATTTATAATAGTTAGTTACTCAAAGACAGGTCATCTTGAATTCACAAGATTATTTGTAAATTAAATCCAAAACTATTAAATTACTTCTATGAACTGGTTTGGGCTAGATACTGTACATACAAAGATGAGTAAGACAGTTTATTCCCTGTTGAAAACATAAGATACATAAAACACTGAAACAGCAGCCTCCAAATTTCTATCAAGAGCTGGTTGAAAGACATAATTGTGGGAAACCTGCAAACAGTGTTTTGCTTTGGTTGAACATCATGGCCAGGATCCTACACTGGGGTTCTTTGTGAGAATGGAATGCTACTGAGCTCATTATAGGATTTAGCTGAGGATGCTGTGTTACTTCCCAGGGATCATCCTGTACATCAATTAAATACCTATATCCTAAAAGAAGATTCAGTTCTGCCAAAGAACGCTTCATCTCTAAACACCATTAATCATATCACTGTCTTGGGAGAGGGTGTAGTTCTGTGATTAGGTAGGTAGGTTCCAGATTTTAGTTTTTAGAAGTGAGTAACTTAAAGTATGACATTTGTCTAAACATCAGTGTTTACCTCATGGAATTCTTGTAAAGATTATATCAAACAATACATGTAAAGTGCTTACAAAATTCACAACACATAATGAGTGTTCATTAACTATACATTAATATGTTTATACTACTTCCTCTTGGCTTTGACTTCCTGAAGGATCACAGACATATCTGTAGTTTAATAACTGCAAAGACTATGACATAATCCAGAGGAGTATAAACATGAGGAATACAACCATTTAAAGGATGGGCAAAAGATAAGACGTCCAAGAAATCTAAAGGAATATCAAAGAAACAAAGGGTCCGCAGATGTGAGTCAGAAACAACAGGAAACGGCACTCTAAGGGGATGAAGCAGCAAACAGTATTGAGCTCCTGAGGGACAAAGCAGCAAAATTCTTGAAGGATTCAATGGTAGGGACAGAAGACAGAGAAGTGGAGACTGAAACAAACATATCTGAGTACTTACTATGGCCTTGCTTTGTGATTTTTTTTTGTTTTTTTGAGACAAGATCTCATTACATAGTCCTGATTAGCCTGGAATATACTATGTAAACCAGACTAGCCTCTGCTTCCCTACTGCTGGGATCAAAGACATGAGCCGCCACCACCACCACCACCATTATTATTATTATTATTATTATTATTATTATTATTATTATTATTATTATTTTAAGACAAGGTCTCATGTATATCCTTTCACTGGCAATGAACTCACTATTTAGCTAAGGGTGAGCCTAAACTTCTGATGCTCCTGAATCCACTTGGATTAGAAGGCATTTACCATGATGCTAGGAACTGAACCCAGAGCTTCCTGCATACAAGGCCAGTATTCTACCAACTGAGCTATAGCCCCATCTCATTTTGTGGTATTTTATATACAACAAGGTAGTCTTTTTCTTTTTCTTTAGTGGGTACACAAATGTATCAAAAAGCATTTACTACAGCCCACAGTCTATCCCTTACTATGTTTCATGATGTTGTATTACACACTTGGTTGCTGTCCTGGCTAGTTTTTATGCAACTTGACTCAAATTGGAGTCATCTGAGAGGAGAGAACCTCAGTTGAGAAAATGGCTACATAAGGTTGGGTTGTAGGCAAGCCTCTAGGACATTTTCTTAGTGATTGATGAGGAAGGTCCAGTCCATTTTGGGTGGTGTCATCCCTGGGCTGGTTGTCCTGGGTTCTATAGGAAAGCAGGCTGAGCAAGCCATGGAGAGCAAGCCAGTAAGCAGTACCCTTCCATGGCCTCTGCATCAGCTCCTGCCTCCAGGTTTCTGCCCTGGGTGAGTTCCTGTCCTGACTTCCTTCAATGATGAACAGTAATGTGGAAGCATAAGCAAAATTAACCCTTTCCCTCCCCAACTTTGGTCATCCTGTTTCATCATCACAGCAATAGTAACCCTGACTATTCCTAGACAGTCCCTAAAGGTATGCATTTTCTACTCTTTATGGGCCTCTTCCCAATAAAACCAGTAAAAACAAACAAATCAGAATGGGTACAGGTATGTGTTTATAGGCTTCCTGACAGAGAACTGTAAGAATTTTCATCTGAGGATTTCCATTTTCTTTGTGAAATGAAGCACCCAGTGATCTGCTAAAAATGAGAACTGAAAAGTTGGAGATATGTAGACAGGGAGGAACAGCTTCCAAGGAAAATGAAAGGACTAGAAAAAAACAGAGCATAAAGGTGCTCCACGGGAGGCTGCTAACAAAGAATTTGAAGTGCTTATTGCTGCTAATGTGATTTTCCTCCAGTAATGCTCAGTTAGACAAACAAAGCTGAGGTGCCTCAGGCTAGTTTGATAAAAAGAAAATTAAAATTAAAGGTCATCAACAAGAGAGAGGTTGAAAACGAATAGCGTAGTGAAGAGGAAGAACACACATTTCAGGAATGATTAAATCATATGCATTGGAAATTTTGTTACGATTACATGCACACAACTGAGAACCGTGGGTGAGTGTTCAGATGATGCACACATGCAAAGCAGCACACAACTGAGAACTGGGGGTGAGTGTTCAGATGATGCACACAGGCAAAGCAGCACACAAGTGAGAACCGTGGGTGAGTGTTCAGACGATGCACACAGGCAAAGCAGCACACAACTGAGAACTGGGGGTGAGTGTTCAGATGATGCACACAGGCAAAGAAAGAAGCAGGTACTACTGGGAAGGTGGAAGTAAAAAAAAAAAAAAAGTCTATGGACCTTGAGCTAGGGGTGCAGCTCAGGAAAACAGCACATGCCCAGCACATGCAAAGCCCTAGTTTCTACCCACAACACTGAAAATGATCTAAAACAAAAACACAGTGGGAAGGGAGATAAAAGCATAAATGTCTGGACAGTCACATCTGAATGTGACTCTCAAACATGTGATGTACAGACACCTGTCATGGAGAAGAATTTGCATACGTGTATACACACACACACACACACACACACACACACACATTATTTGTTTTCAGGATAAATGCCACATGAACAAACATAGCCAGAAGTTCAGTGTAGAAACACATACTTCATATCAAGAATTTCTTAAGACTTTTCAAGTAAAAAATGTCCCCTTATATCTATGCAGAGGAGGAGGCAGAAAGATTTGTCAGAGTCAGAGGTGATGGATGACTCTAACCAAATAGTCTCTTCCAGACACAACAGGACATTTGCACATATGGAGTCACAGAGACTGCGCGTCACGCACAGGGCCTGACCAGGTTCAAGCCAGATGGGGTCCCAGCACTGAGATGGGGAGGTGGGCTCTCATCCCTAACCAAGAAGCTATCTGCAATTAATACCCACTGGAAAAGGAAATTAGAGTTTTATTCCAATGAAGTCTCACTGGGTCTATTAACCACACTTCAGGGCAGGCTCCATGCCTGGGAGTAGATGACCAACAAAAATAAACTCAATAGTATTTTTGTAGACTTTTTGTCTCATTTTGCCTCTTTGGGCATTTTTTTTTTAATATTTTGGTCTTTTGCTTATTTTGAGGTCCATTTTTGTGGGATTTGGTGTATGTGTTTCTTGTTTTGTTTTTTTGTTGTTGACTTTTTAAGGGGGCGACAAAGTTGGATGGCTAGGCAGTTGGGGAGAATCTGGGAGGAATTGAGGAGGAGAAAAAAATGAAGAATATAATGTATGAAATTTTTTTTAATATAGAAAGTTTAAAAAAATCTCCCCTTAAAGTTGTAATTTATGTGCTGTGGGGTAGGGATCTGCTTTGTTACTCTGAGAACCACAGGGAAGGGCTGGCTATGTTGGTACAGTTCGTGAGCCCAGGACTTGTGAGGCTGAGGCAGCTGGACTTCAAGGTTCAGATCGGCCTGGGTGATACGGGCAGACCTCATTTCCATATTAAACGAAGATTAATGCATAGCGCTGGAAAACGGAAAATAGTGTATTGTCTCAAAAATGAACCAAACTTTACGGCTGTAGAATTTTGTGGACAAGGCAAAAAAAAAAAAAAGAAGGCACTGGACTATTTTGTATCCTCTACTTCTTTTTTTTTTTTTTTTTTTTTTTTTTTTTTTTTTTTTTTTTTTTTTGTTTTTCGAGACAGGGTTTCTCTGTGTAGCTTTGCGCCTTTCCTGGAACTCACTTGGTAGTCCAGGCTGGCCTCGAACTCACAGAGATCCGCCTGGCTCTGCCTCCCGAGTGCTGGGATTAAAGGCGTGCGCCACCACCGCCCGGCTTATCCTCTACTTCTTTCTTCTCTGTCTTATGTGGGAAGATACTGAGCCCCAACTCTTGAGTGAAGATGTCTGCTTTATGTTCTCTCACTGTTAGAAAGTGGATTTCATGTGCTATGAGCTGCCATTCTTTGCCTTCCACAAGATAAGCAAAAGAGTGAGAAAGTTTCTCATAATCATAGCACCTACTACAGAAGGTTTGTAAGTAATGTTTATGGAAAAGAAGCAAGATGGGACATCATATAGATTGAAAGAGATGCCGGGTAGTGGTGGCGCATGCCTTTAATCCCAGCATTCAGGAGACAGAGGCAGGTGGATCTTTGTGAGTTTGAGGCCAGCCTGGGCTACAGAATGAATTCCAGGAAAGGCGCAAAGCAACACAGAGAAACCTTGTCTCAGGAAAAAAAAAGAAAGAAAGAGATCCAAAAAAAAAATGTAAATCTTTTCATACATAAAGAAGCAGACCCAAACTTTGCATTTATTACCCCTTTCAAACTGGAAATTTCTAGATAACAAACAGTAAGTGAATCAATAGCCAAGCATCAATTTCTCTTTCGACTTGAGAAAACAAGCACAGTCTGAGGTATCAAAACCGTCCCTGCTTGACAGCTCTGTACCTGGAAGAAAACAAATTTCTGACTGCTGGGGTTAATGTT